AAGGCTGGTGAATTTTTCACAACAATGTTAAAGTACTTATTTAGTGATTATTTGACATTCTCTAACAAACAATTTTTTCTTAACCTACCAGATATGGATCTTGGAGGCATTGCCTGGAACTCGACCCTATTTTCATTATATTCCTTCATTCTCGAGGGCTATTGGATGGCAACGAATGAAGATGATGAATTAGGAAGAGTGTTGTGCACTATCCACCATTGCCAAGGTTTGGTTTCATTGATTATAATTTTAACATTTGACAGTTTTTATTTTGTTAACTATGTTTAAAATTTTATACTAATTTATATTTTTATAGAAATCCTCTCAGCCCCTGACCAAGTTGGTGCCGACATATTTGGAGGAGTCAGCCCAATGGTGGATAAACAGCAGGGAGTATATACAAAGGAATAATTATCGACGGCCGGATAATAACAAAGCTGACGCAGACTTCCAACCATCGGGACCACGTCAGTCCTTTGTCGCGCACACGTCTGGAAGAACTACATACGAGCAGCAATCTCGCCATTCATCAGCTGCATATATGGACACACAATGGCATGATAAATGGCTCCAACATCAGGCTCAGATCGATGGGAGGCTCGCTTCAATAGAAGCGAAAATATCTGAACTTGTGCGTGGACAAAATACGGCTCATGTTCCACAATACAGTAGTCCGCATGACGTCTACGTAAGAGCATATATTTTTGTTGATGTTTTGCACGTTAATAATTACATAAACAATAAATTTATATTGGATGTCGCAGCATCAGCCACCGATGACGCATGCGGCCACATATATACCGGATGATTTTCCATCCATGGATGCGGTAAATATGTTTAAGGTTTTATTGATTTTAATTTAATAATTGACAAGTATATTAAAGAAATTAAATTTTATTGGATTGTGCGTAAACAGAACATACCGGTGCCCTACACCCCAATGGATACGGTAAATATGTTGTGGCTTCATAATGTTTTTATTTATGAAGTCAATAATTAAATTAGTAAACTTTTTATTAATTATTGGCTTGTGCGTACACAGTTTATGTCGCAGCACCAACCTCCGATGGATGCTGCGGCATCTACACAAAAAAAGAGGATGCACCGTGCCCGACTTGCCTGCGAAGCGAGTGACCAAGAAATCGCGGTGGCTCTCGTCTCCTTGGACCGCATTTGTAAAAGGCAAAAAAGACAAGAAGGTCGTTGACAAAGAGGCAAGCGTCGCACAGTTGTATGACTCCGGTCGGTTAACCTCGGTTAGGTTAACGACGCTCCCGTATATGGAGGCTGACATGGAGTTTTGGGGACAACTGTTGGGCAAGCTTGGTTCAGGCTATTTGGGAAACGATGTATGAGAATTACACAAATTTGTATAAGTTGAAAAATTCATTTTTTTCGCATTTAATTATAATTGATCCATTGTTCTGTATTTTTAGCATCTTGATGCATGGACCATCTATCTTCTCCGACAGAGGCGACCAACAGACCATTGTACCATCATGCCGCCTTGTTGGATACCAAATTTAGCCACCGAAGGGCTTGGGCCTAGGTCACAGAAGGTGTGGGGCGATGGTACACATGAGCCATTTCCGTCATGGCGAGACGTCGACCGGGTCGGTATAATACGGCTTCAATTATTTTCCGTACATAAGATACTTTATTTATCAATTGTTATTCATAACTTATTTTTCCAAGTATTCATCCCAATTAACATACCGAATGCTCATTGGGTGACCGGGGAGCTCGACCTGAGGTCATGGCGTTTGACCATATACGATACTTGTCCGCCGCATATGTTCAACAAAGAGATCATTAGAATCATCCACACGCTGAAGCAGTCCCTCCTCGAATTCCTATTAGAAATAGAATATTATGTAAGGGTCGTGGACCAAGTTAACATACCGACTGTTAAAGTATTTCATTCGGACGACACGCCACGACAGACGGGACCGCTCGGCGATTGTGGGGTTTTCTACTGCATGTTTGTTGAGCAATTGTCGCAAGGACTAGAGGTCAATTGTGACAGGCCTACCGACGTTCAGGCGATGATGTTTCGTCAACGTATGGCATCAATATTGTATTCAACGCGTTTTTCTTAATCCAAATAATAAATTTATTCCTTGTAAATGACATTGTTTGCACTATTTTATGAAATGTTCTTCGATAATAAGAAAGCGTAAATGACAATTATCCTACAATCGYCTTGATGAACAACACCATCGCAATCACAAAAAAAGATATCCAACTTATCGCCAACATCGTCCTTAACCGGCGAAGTTGTAAAACAGCTTCAAAAAGCGACGCTTCAAGATTATTTTTCGACCTTAATAACTCTGAAATAATTAGCACGGATCGTGGACACATGGGTGGATCAAGCCAATCAATAAATCCACAGTTTCGTCCCTACAAAAAAATAAGGAATATAGATTTATATATATTAAAAAAAACTAATAGTTGCGTATATACGAAGGTCATATATACGCAAAAACTCACAGGTAAAGAACAACAAAAGAATCGACGGCCTGGGTTGTGGTCGGTCCATGACGTTCTGATGATTGCATCAGCGCCACAGTTGCAATGCCTCACCATTTTATTTTCTTCTGAGTTGAGAGGCAGTGAACAAATGATGGTGGAGTGGGTTTGTAATGGAAAACAAGGTTTGTTGATCCTCTCTCTCAGTGATTTGATAATAATCCCTTTTTCCTTTCGATGTATTTATGTATCTGTAATTTCAGTTCCAGCGATCATACACTGAACTTGTTCAGTGATCGCTGATGAACTTGTTTTGAAATTCATTCAGAGACAACGATACTTCAAGAAAACAACACTCANCCCCTTCTACAAACTTTTTAGTATTCTTGTAGACCCTTTTGGGACCAACAAGGTTATTTATAGGGAAAACATAAGGGGACTTGTCACATCATCATCGTTTCAGTACAATACATTTTAAAAGATCGAACCAGTAACTTTGACAACAATAAGTTTTTTACCCGATAATACTAAATTTTGTCATGCGGATAGAGTTCCTTAATTTTTTCTATTGCTTTCGTCTTTTTTTCAATGTCCTCTTCATTCCACCTAATATGTCTTCCAGTCTCCCCGCATGCAAGCTCGAACCATGCCTCGTGGTTCAGGTTTTCCGCCTCTTTGATTTTCTTTCGTGTATCAGCAATCCAGCACTATTGTTGCTTAATCTGTTGTTTTGCATTAGCAATCCATCTCGTCCGCTCGTTCATCTCATGTTCAATCTTCTCCTTTTTTGAACCAAGGTCCGCATGTTTTTGCTGTAGTATATCTAATTTAAGTTCGTAGTCCTTGATAGCCTCTCTCACATCATCGGGCATTTTTTCTGGTAGTTGACTTCTCCACCATTCTTCTCCAAGCCTCTCCCACTCCTCATTCGTTGTTGGAACTTTAAAATTACAACTGGACGAGCTTCCGTCCATTGTTATGAAGAAAACAGGAAAACATAGCCAGTAATATGTCCTCTAGCAACAACCCATTTTATAGGAACATTTGACACCAACAAAAAAGCTTATATTTTTTTTGCAAAATAATGTCAAAAATAAATAAAAAATTGGATCGCCCCTGAGGGTAGAGTCACCAAAGTCGAGGCAAAAGGGGGCGATAGTACATTGGTACGATTATGGGTTAGGGTTTCAGGACGAATCTTGTAAGCTTTATGTCAGCGATGATTTAACAACTCATAGACGATTTAACAACTCATAGCTTTATGGCAGGKGCATGACTGAAATTTGTAAAAAAAAACCACTTTATGCATTTTGTAAGCATTTTTGACCCTTCTCAGAGACCAATCCAGATTCTATTTTGTAAATCAAAGTTATAGGTTGGTAGCACACGAGTATATTAGTTTTGGAATCGTCTCATTTGGATCATCCATTTATTTTATATGAATTTTAGAAAACTGCATATTAATAACGAAAAGTGTGCAAACAGCCTAAAAAAGTCCATTGGTATTCCATGATTCGTTAAACACTAAAACAAGTCCATAATTGAAAAAAAAATTGGATCGCCCTTAGGATAGATTCACCAAAATCGAGGCAAAGAGTGGGGGCGATAGTACATTGATAGGATTATAGGTCAGGCTTTTCCAGGACGAATCTTGTAAGCTTTATTGACGAATCTTGTAAGCTATATTGACGAATCTTGACAGGGATGATTTAACAAGTCATGCCATGTTACAGTCCGGATTTGACCACACCATGCCAGCTAATAACTCGTAGGCTGTGACAGTGCATTGGTAGGTTCACGGGTCAGGGTGCCAGGATGAATCTTGTAAGCTTTATGTTAGAGACGATTTAACAAGTCATGCAGGTTCATGACCGGATTTGACCACACCATGCCAACTACTAGACCAATCTTTTTTAAATCGTAAGGCCCGATAGTGTATAAAAGGGATGCCTTGTGAAATCATATATCATAACTTCATATCAAATCCGATACAAGTACTTGTCCAGTTATTGAAAGAAATGGCTGGAAACCCATCGTCTTCTCAAACAATGCCTACAAGGATGAAGGCTTCGATTGAAAAGGTCGAAGCGGAGATTAAGAAGATCTCCGATGACTGGTGGGTTAACAGGGAGAAACAAAACAAACACGAAGAATCTATTAAAGAGAAGAAAAAAGCAATCAAGCAATTGCAAAAGGAGATTCGAGCGGAGGAAAATTTTGTGAAGGACATCACGAATGGGTACCCAGTGATGCAAGAAATGATCAATGAAAAACAGTACTGGATTGAGTCTTGCAAACAACTTTACCCAGAAGGAAACTAGCATGAATGTTATGTATTACTGTTTTTGTTGTTGTTGATGTTTTTTAGTTTAATGTTACGTCTGAATGGTGTTGTTTCATTTGATTCGTCAATGTATTAATGGTTAATGTTCATGCATTTCTAAATCAAACTTCCATTTCCCATTAAAACAACAAAAGTACACTTAAAAATCGTACATTTACTTACTTAAATCGTAAGTATCAAATACCTAGTCTTGTGTAGTATCAGGTTCAGACGGACCACAATCGCTTGGATGACTAACTGATCTTCGACGACTACTTGAACTTCCGTGCGTCGGCCTAGGAGCTGGCATAGGACTCAGACAGTTATATCGAAAATGTCCACTCTGGCCGCATCGACTGCAAGTTTTCACTATTGGTTCCTCGTCCCGTGACGGGATACGATCACAGTTGCATGGCCTGCCTGAGTTTTGTATGTCCAAGGGAGGCGGTAGGACGGTCAAACGTTCGTTGGGCAACACATATTCAACTTCTGATGGAAGGGGAATGACTTCCTTCTCGTATGTTGCACGGTAAGAGTCGGAATTGAACCAAACAGAACAGAATTGACTGCAGTCTTGAATATCTAAACTTCGAGCAACAGAAATTACATGACCGCAAGCTATTCCAGAAAGTTGCCATTGCATGCATGTACAAGTCTTAGCATGCAAATCACACGTTCCTTTCTTATAGCGGTCGTCAACTTCAAACAACAAATCGCTGATGGGATATACCTTCCAATTTGCGCTCCTATGTATTCTCTTCTCTAATTTGGCCTTCGCCCAAGGAGTCACTGCATTCATCATTTGCGCTGCAGATATTTGATATCATTAGCATATGTTACATAATCAAACATATAGTCAAAGGATGGTTGAATTTACCTCCGTTATGCCAACGTATAAAATACCATTGTCGCAATGTCGCCCGATAAAATTCAACTAACATTGTTATCGGAAGATAGCGTGCAAACCGTGCTACTGAGTTGACGGACTCAACACTGTTGGACGTCATTGCATTGTAACGCAATCCAGGGAAGTGCGATCGTGCCCATCTAGCATAGCTAACTTCCTCAAGATATTGAGCGGCTCTAGGTAGACTGTGCCGCATCAAATCCATAGTAGCTTCAAAGTCCGACAACCGGTAAGCTTTGCATGCCTCCCAGCACATCCACCGTTTCCTTTTCTCTTTGCGGAGTTTAGGCGGAGGTTCTGGCTCAGATGCCGACAACAAAGTCCGTGGTGCGCAGAAGGAAATACAGTTCGTATGGCCAGGTCGATAGAGGTAGCCCTATCGGTGACGAAGGTTAAATTGGGCACATCACCGATACACTACCTAAGCTTACGAAAAAACCATGTTCACGACGGGCCACTTTCTGTCTTCCCCACTCCCATTGCAATGGATACGATACCATTGTCTCTATCCATGCCGACCGCTAAGAACATGGTGCCAACATACGGCCCCTTCAGATGGGCACCGCCCATTATAAGAAGCGGTCTCATGTGTCCTAGAAACGATCGAATCTGCAGATGAACGATATTAAAAATGTAATTTCAGAACATAAAATTATGACAATAATTATAAAATATGACAAAATTATTACCGAACAACCGAGTGCGACAAACAACATGTCGAATCGTCCAAGTGGATCAAGAGCGATCTCTGTCACAGTCCCCGGATTTGCTAGCTTCAGATTGTGACAATAAACCGGGAGTAGGTCAAACAACGATTCTGGGGTCCCCCTCATCAATTGCAAGGCATACATCTTTGTTCGCCATGCTTGGTGGTAGGAGATGCTAATATTGAACTGTTGGTTCACATCTTCCATGATTTCTTTACCACGGTACACTCTCCTACAATCCTTTAAACTGTCTGCCAGTATATGACCCAAAACTTTTTTATTCGCATTACGGTGGTTTGGGTGCACTTGGGACCTTGAACATGTGTGTTCATCGTGGAACTTCCGTACCTGAAAAATACTGGTACCATCGATGGAAACAACCATCAAACGCCAATCACAGTCCGAATCTGAGTGACACACCACCTCGTACCTGTGTTTGGAAGATTTCTTTACTTTCATCTGAAAGTTTTCATGAACGCACTTTAATCCCACTGCGAGCTTAAGTGCTTCCTTCGAGTCAAAGGTTTGTAGAACTTTGACATGGGATATAGGCTGGTAGGAAATGTTTCCCTGTCTACTTTTGATAACTGGGTCCGGACAAGGTGGTGGGTCGGGCATACCCCAAAAACTATTCCTTACCGGCTTGATATCTTCAGAATCGGAGTTATCGTCGTCTTCGGGTATGTTCAAAATTTCGGCAGCAACAGAAACATCTTCTGTCATATCTACCTCCCACAACAGTTTTGACAGTTCGGGAGACCGGATCGGGTACGGGTTGGGAGACTGCATCGGAGGCATGTTCAAGTCTTGAACAAAATAACTGTCAGGTTCAACGGTAACTTTTTGTTCAAGATATGAATTTCCCGCGCCACGTAAGGGAAGAAGGTGCTCCGATTTTCACCACTTCCACCACTAGGGAAGAAAGTGCTCTGATTTACACCAGGAACACAACCGGTAGGGAAGAGTGTGCTTGGACCATATAGGTTTGCTATGCTAACGTCGGGGAAGAGTGTGCTCACAGCACCGGGGTAAAAAGTGTTTGGACCGCCCGGGTTTGCACTTGATGGATTTCTTCCATAACCTCCATTGTCGACCACATATAGTGTCAACATTTCTGGTGAAGTTTGACGAATGACGTTGTGGAGGATTACCACATCATCGTCGTTCATAAATTGATATAACGTATTCGTTTTAAAAAATAAATTGAAAGGACCACATAAACTTAACTTTTCGTCACACGTTTGACGACCCCATAATACGTTATTGGCGAAGACAAACGTATTGCACATGTGGGGGAGGTTATCGGAAAGTACTCTAAAACACCATATATATCTTGGAATAAACCGCCACTTCGAAGATACACACAAATATCATCATTTTGACGTGATTTCATGTTTTGTGATGGTTGATTGTGTTTAATGGGTTAAGGGTTGTGAGAGTAGAATATATGAGAAGAGAAATGAAAGGGAATGTGTGAAAAAKTATGAAGTAGGAGGTTGGTATTTATAGTGAAATTGGAGGTAGAAAAAATGAAAAAAAATAAGAGATGTACGGGTTTATATCTGATTTACAAAACCCAAATCAGATAAAAATAATTTTTGCGTCTCCATAATTATAATGGTTTATTTTTAAACCTTTACCCATTAATTTTGGTTCTAAAAAAGTTAAAAAAACACAACTTAAATGGCGTATCAGTTTTACTAAAAATACCACAAAAAAATAATAATAATAATAAAAGGCTGGATCCCCCCTGGGGGCGATGGGACAGCCTGGATCGCCCCCTAGGGCGAGGTCAAACCCGGTCTTCGAGGGTGAACAATAATCTCGTCTTTTAAGATTTTTTTTTAGAATTCTGTTGGGGATCGCCCCAAAAAAGTACGGATCACCCCATATGTGTACGGATGCCCTTAGGGTAGATTTGGGTGGTCAAATACGCAAAACCTCTAAAACCCAGTTATTTTGTGGCAAAAGGTTATATAAAATGGTTATTTTTTATAAATTTCCCGATTTTAAAACCATTAAGAGGTAAACATTTTTTTTTTTTATCAAACAAGATTCACCTCTTTAACGATTTAGAAATCATTTATTTAACGATTTAGAGATCGCCTCTTAATAAAACTATTAAAAGATAAACAAAACAACCTCGAATCTTTTGGCCTGTCGTTGCCAAGGGGATAATGAACAAAGATGAAATCAACTATATATTTTTTATTAGTCGAATTTTTGAGCATGGCTGGTTTAAAGTATTGTTAAATTTTTTCTAGAAATGGTTGAAGTCATTATTATTAATAAATTTACAGAAAAGAAGTGATATTATTCAGGAATTTGGACCAGGAAGAAAGGGTGGCCGCAGATGCGCCTCTGGTCCCGACTATGGCAACAGTACCAGTGCTAGGCAGAGCCATCCCTCACCTCCGTCTCCAACTTAACACAACGCTTCCGGCCGCCGTCTGTTTACTGATACGAAGACCATGCTATACCACAACCGCCGCAGAGTTTAATCGGCCGATTAAGAAGGTACCTTCCACTTCCACATCCACTTCCACTTATGACGACAAGGCCTCTTTGTTAAGCGCAAAACCTCATCCACCCAAGGACCCAAAATGGGAGAACGATCCTGATTATCGTAAGTGGAAGGATAAAGAAGCAGAGATTTTCCAAGATATTGACCCTATCACTCTCCTAGTCAAAGATATACTCCACTCCGACAGGTTTTATTCTATCTTCACACGTTTTACAAATCATACAACTTAAGGGCATGTTTTATCAGATCATCTTTCACTACATGGCTCTAATTTTGGGATAATTACTTTTGCGAGATGGGCTCTAATTGGAACTGGGAAATACTACCTGTTATTAATTTTTCTTTTATCAACATATCAATGTTGGTTGAAAAGCTTCTGTAAATGAAGCATTCTTACAAGCTGATTCATTCTAGTGTTGAACCTGTCAAGTTTTATAGTTTAACTAGAATATGTAACTTTCTCACATAGACCAGAGGAGCATATCATAAACCAAACCAAAGGAATCCCAATACATCCACTCAAAATTACGGTCTTGGAGGGATAAGATGTAAGCAGGCCTTACCTCAACCACTAGGATCGAAAGGCTGTTTAATTAAAGACCCCCGACTTGTGCACAAAGCAGAGGTGTGTGCAAGATGGCAATAAGATGGGTAAAAGAACATGTAATAAGGAAATATAACAAGTTGAATAACGATTCAAGGAATGTAAAGAGCCTAACAAGATAAAATACACACTATTCACACAAAGGAAACTCTATATCTCTAATGCAAGAAATCAGCAACCTAATCCTCCAACAACAATCCTACTTGCAATTGACTACCCTAATCCACTACCCTCAAGTACTCCTATCTAAGGTCATGCCTGTTGGAAGAATTAAAGCCTTCATATTCTGCCTCAATTGCTCATCCCACGTCCTCCTTGACCTGCCTCATCTCCTCACCCCCTTGATTGTAATACCCTCCACCCTCTTACAGAAGCTGTTTGTGGTCTCCTACAAACATGCCCAAACCACCTCAACCTTTCCTCTCAACTTATCTACAATGGATGTAACTTCTAGTTTCTCTCTAAAAACCTCATTTGATATCCTATCTAACATAGTCGTGCTCAAGTCTACCTCATCATCCTTATCTCTGTGACTTGCATTTTCCTCTCATGCGCTTTCTTCATTGCCCAACATTCCGAACCATACAACATAGCCAGCCTGATGTCCACCTTGTAGAATTTTCCTGCTAATTATAATGAAACCTTCTTTTCACACAGAACTTTTGTGGTCTCCCTCCACTTTAGCCATCCTGTCTTGATGTGGTATGCAACGTCCTCCTTAATCGTGCCATCCTTGTGAATCATAAATCCCAAATATGTGAAACTACCCTTGGGGAGGTACTCTTTGCTTTCAATGCTGACTTCCACCTCCCTTTTGTTGTTGTAACTGCTAAAATTGTACCACAAATATTCTGTCTTTGAACGGCTAATCCTGACCTTTTGTTTGCAAACCTCCATCCATTGCCCTAACCTAACATTCACCTGTTCCTCGACTCTATAGCTAGAGCAACGTCATCAGCAAATAACATACACCACACTCCCTTGGATTCCTTGAGAGATCTCATCCAGAATCATGACAAAAAGGAATGGACCTTAGCGCCAATTCCTGGTGTAGCCCTATCTCCACTAGGAAGTATTCAGTCTCTCCCACGTGTCCTTGAATGCACATATACTTATCCTTGATCACCTGAACGTACCTCCCTGGAACCCTTCTATCCACCAAGCACTTCTAGACCACTTCGCGTGATACGCTATTATATGCCTTCTCCAAATATGTGAACACCATGTGCAGGTCTTTCTTACTATCTCTGTACATTTCGACGAGTCTCCCAAGAGGCCAAGAAGATGGATTGCCTCGGTAGACCTCCCTCGTACGAAGTCAAGTTGGTTTCCCCTCACTGTTGTTTCTCGTCATACCCTTGCTCCAATCATCTGTTCCCACAATTTTAATTGCGTGACCAAGTAGTTGTATGCCCTGCTAACGGCCGCAACTTCGTGCATCGTCTTAGCATTCTTGAGAATGACGTTAAATTGAGTCATCAAGTTTTGCAATTGTGGCTCCCCAAACATGGCCACACTTTAATGGGGATCTAGTTGGGCCATATGACCTTAGTCCTCCCCATCTTCCTAAGTGCCCCCTTTATGTCTTTCGTGCTAATTCTTCTGGAAAACGATAATTACCAGGCCTATGTTTTCGGTGTACTCCCTTCGTTCCCCTCTCCCTCTCAATCACTCCATTGAATAACGACTAAAAGTGACTATCTCATCTCTTCTTGATATCCCCATTCGACACCAAAACCTGCCGGTCTACATCCTTAATAAACCTTACATTTCCTAGGTCTCTATGACTCCATTCCTTGACGCTTACTAGTTTACAAATTCTCTTCTCCCAAAAGACCATAATTTCATGAATTCGTCTTGCATAGAACGTTCTAAAATAATTCGTGACTTTGACAACATTTAGATGCAATTGACACCAGAAGACCACAATTTCATCATGCGTGTAACATGTAAGCGTTACTTAAATGGATTTTTGAAGAAGTTGGTAAAATATTTCAGAACGTTTCATGGATCTCACTAGTGCACCGACATGTAGGCTAGTCACCAATAAGCCACTCAAACCCCACTACTTTGTATTCATAGCTTCAAGGATTCTAGGACCTTATTAATTCTCACCAACCTTATTGCCATGTATGTAACGTAGCCCACCTAATGCATCCATGACGTGCGGGAAGTAAATTATTGAAGTGTTTGACGTCAGTCAGCACAAGTTCATTACACAATTAGCAATGGTGTCGATAACTAAGGGCACAGTTCATAAAAGGTCAAGGCACCTCGAGGCGAGGCGGTTCGAAACCAATTATTAGGCTACACCTCTGCTGTTGGCATTGAGGCACATGCCTTATATGGATGAGGCGCACCGGAGGCACAAGATTCAGAGGTGGGGTGTACTATAATTTTTTTTATTAGATTGTTAATAAATGAAGCCCTAAAGAATAATGCCAAAAGATATATGATAATTGATAGACAAAAAATATTCGTTATGATAGAATACATGAACATCTCATTTATTAGAAAAGTTGTGATTAGCTTGAAAACCCTCCAAACTTGGTGAGGTACGTTGTTATGAATAAGCAATATGCATGCGATGTAAAGCAAATGCCTGTTTTTTAATTTGTGCAACACCGTTATGCTTAGGTGTATATACACTTGAAGACTTGTGTGACATACCGTTCTTAGAGCAAATTCAATGCAAGCTTATACAATAGCTTCTCATTATTTCGGTAAGTTACTGAATGGGTTGGTACGTTGGAGTGAATGCGTTTTTGATGAAAAGGTTGGAGATGCTCGACTGGTTGGAGAAATTCTCAATTTTGTAATTTTACTTTCACTTTGCCCTTTACTCAATCATATTTTCATTTCACTCCTTATCACATTTTGACTAAATAATCTAAAATTTATTAAATATTCAAAATAAAAGAAGTACTTTTTGTAACAAAATGCATTATTAAAAGTTCCAGTTAAGACGATCAAAATGACACCAATATCGAATATAAAAATTTATTAATATCATATAATATTTAAACCTCTTTCTTTCTTTAACTACATAATTGATAATTGGTATATTATTATTATTATTTGTATTCTTTTGAAATATAAAAAACCCGACAGTTATATTTTTAGTTTTGTTTGTTTAGGCCTAGTTTTTTCAAGTATCGCATATTATAATGTTTTTATTTATTTGAATGTCAACATTAAATTAAATTTGTTTTTGAAAAATATGGCTTTGGGCTTAAAAAACTACAAACTAGAGGAGGGCTTTATAAAACATTCAAATAGATGGGGATAAAAGAATATGTTTATAGAAAATAATTATAAATGTTAATTGTTACAAAAAGTCATTGCAACGGTTTTTTGGATTGGAGGAAGGTTGTGCTGGTAGGTTTTTGTTCAAAAAGATTAGTGGAAAGCTGAGGCAACAAAAAGAAAAAGTCACTGAAAAGGTTTACCATTGTGGATGCTCTTGGTCATAAACTAATTAAACCTGTTGCTAAAAGATTCTTTGGCATTGCAACTCTCAACTTGGTAATAGAAATATCATCAACAAAAACCGAAAGCAGATTTGACTGGATAGGTTCTTTTACTAATAGGGTGCTCACAGTTAAGGACTATAAAGAGTCCAGATACAAGCATGTTAACCCAACCAACACAACTTACATACTAACTCAGATATTAAAAAAAGTTGTAGGACTTGGCTACTCAAGATTCAAGAACCTCTGAAGAAAGATGCTGTAACCGACAATGAGCATTTCTATACCACAAGTTTGCCATGGGCACCCTGATGTGTTAAATCGAAAGAGCCTAGAACTCTTATGTTGGGGGCCAACTAACTGGTTTGTTCCTAGCTTATGGAAAAACACACTAAATGGGAAAAGGTCACAAGTCGGTTTGAATTGTGAGTAGTTTGGACTTTGGTGGACATGTACAAAGGTTTTAATGAAGGATGATATAAAGATATGTCATATATGTGGTACCATTTCTTTACGACAAGAAAATTCATTGTTGAGCTCCCATATTTCATTGGTTAGCTTTAAAGGCAGACGGGAAGTGGGAGAGATATAGATAACCTTAGATTGATGTAGAGTAAGAAGTAAAAGAGATACTTGCAAATGACTTATTAGCACAGGGAGAAAAAAATGCACATTTCCAGAAAGCAAGGACTTGAGTTAGGATCTCGTCGTCACCAATGGAGGGTGATAGAAGTCAAGAAACATCAGAGGAAGTGGCTATGTGTGTCTGAGCAGTGCTCGAGGAGGCTATGGTGCAGTCTGAGGAAGAGCGCCCTCCTTCAGCCTGTTCAATCCCTTTTAGTACGACCCCACTTCTTGTAGAGATGACATTGAATTTAGACTCGTTGAATGTAGGAAGAGCGCCCACCTTCAGCCTGTTCCTCCTAGATATTGATTGATGAGAGCTAGAAACAACCAAAGCTAATGTAAAGTCAAGATACTAGTCATAGGGAGTAGCTGGGTCAGTAGACTCATTTAGTGAAACTAGAATAATACTCGCGCAATGCAGCGAGACACATCTCGATTTTAATGTTCTATTTTATTATTTGTCTATGTCGATGTTATAATA